ATACATGTCCTGCTGTCCTCATACATGTCCTGCTGTCCTCATACATGTCCTGCTGTCCTCATACATGTCCTGCTGTCCTCATATATGTCCTGTACCAGTCTAACATACTTTTCTGTCACCCCAGATCTCCTCATGCAACACCACACCTCCTCCCTCGGCACTCTGTCAGATGATTTTTCTAAATCCACAAAGACACAATGGAGTTCTTTCTGACCCTCTCTGTTCTTCATCAGCATCCTCAAAGTAAAGATGGATCTGTGGTGCTCTTTCTTGGCATGAAACCATCCTGCTGCTCACAGTCACCTCTCGTCAAAGTCTTGCTTCCACAACTCTCTCCCAGATCTTCATCGTGTGGTTCATCAACTTAATTCCCCTGTAGTTGCTTCAACTCTGAACATCACCCTCGTTCTTAAAAATGGCCACCAGCACTTCTTCTCCATTCCTCAGACATTTTCTCACCCTCAAATATGCCGTTGAATATTTGAGTCAAAAACCTCACTGTCATCTCTCCAAGACATTTCCAGACCTCCACTGGTCATCAGGTCCTACTACCTCCTTCTTCATTCTCTTCAGAGCTTTCCAGACTTCACCCTCACTGATCTTTCTCACTTCCTGGTCCACAGTTTCTATGAGCTCTACTCTTCTTTCTCTTTCATTCAGTGTTTCATTGTGAAACACTGACAATTTTAAAAGTAGGAACACGATTATAAAAAGCAAAATGCTAAAATAAAAAAAACTAAAGTTTCAAAAAGTAGCAAAGGCTAAAACAGAAACCGTAAAAGGTAGTTTAACAACAAAACGTGCACAAAAGTCGTACATTTGTGATTTTAAATTAGCACAGTAAAGTTTTAAAAGTATCAAAAAGCTAACTATTGTTTATATCTAAATGTAGTATTAGCAGGAAAATGCTGAATTAAACGTTGGCTCTTTATACAGTCGGGCTGTAAAAACTATGATAAAAAGCCAATACGCTGTCGTCACTGTACATTATTAAAAATATAATTTAATGAGCTTTGATAGTTTTATCAGTTTCTGTTTTCTTCAAGTGTTCCATAAATGCATCAGTCCTGTAGCACCTGAGTCGGTCCTTACTTTTGTTGAGAGACGGAACAGAAACGGTCTCTACAAGTTCCACAGTTCCTGTAAAGATCGTTTTGCAGGACGACTTTCTGAACGGAGCTGTAAGAGTTGGAGCTCACGACCAGAACCGACATTAACGTGTTCACCTCAACCACGAAGAATCGCCTAAACATGAACCAGAAGTGTACTCATTTTTAAATATTCTAATTGTTTTAACTCAGTAGTTTTACATACATTGTTTCATATTCTTTTTTTATTTATCATTTTATTGTATTTACTGTTGATCTTTACAGTTAACCAACTGTTACAGGTCCTTCTAGGGACGGGTGTTACGAATGAGCTTTGGCTAAATACAATAGGCATTAGACTTTGATCATGTTTCTTGTATCTGTTCCTTTCAAATAATAAAATAAAATAATAATAAAAAAACAAGAGGAGATCTTTACGTATTTGTGCTTTTTTTTTGTAAATAAAGTTAAATATTATGAAAAGACAAAAACGTCACGGTGCATAAACAAACCCAACATTATTATAGAAGAACGGCTAAAAGAGAAAATTACACAGAAGTTGTTAAAAGCCAAAAAAAAACATAATAGAAAAAAAAAAGACAACAGGCAAACTAGAGTTAAAATGTAAAAGAAGTAGGGATGCACGATATTGGATTTTTGGCCGATATTTTTCCTACACCTACTTACAGAGACTGTGGAATTAAAATACATGATTCTTGGTCTTTGTCCATTTGGCCAGATACCAAATGCAGATGCCAAAAAAGTGGACAGAAAATGATGTAACGCTATATAAATATATATTTAAACAAAAAAAACAGCACCTTTTATGTCAGTGAGTTATTTTGATGGAATGGCCGATGTCCGATATTTAACTTTATCGCTGATATCGGCCGATACCGAAACCATTGTGTATCCCTAAAGAGAAGCTTTCCTTTATCGGTCAAAAAAAGATGTGACAGAATGGCCGCCTGCAGGCTACAAACTGACCTACAGAAGGTAAACAAACAAACAAAAGAAGTTTATCAACAAAAACGAGACAAACCTGTCCAGAAGCTTCGTCAACGAGCGAGATCTGAGTGGGACTCTCGAGCTCCAGAGGAACCTGAAAGACGTTTTTATTTATTTGAACGCTCCCAACTTCCTGTTTGTTTGAAAGGTAGAAACAAACAAAGAGCGGGACTCACAATGTTTTCCTCCCAGAAGGCGTACTTGGGGTTGTTCAGCAGCAGCTCTTTGGTCACGAAGGAGCAGTAAAGTCTGACGGTCCGGCTGCAGGGAACAACCAACAGTCCGTTTTATCTCAATTAAAACTTAAAATACAAAAAATAAAAATAAACAACACTCAGCTGATCAGCAGAAACTCCTCTTTAACATTTGTCTTTCTCTAAAGTAGTTTTCAATTCATAAATTCAAATCATAAAAGTGGTTTAAAAGATTTCAAACTAATTTCATTTTATATTTTCAATGTATTAAACGAATATCTGTGATTATTACTTTCTGGTTTTGGAGTATAAATTTACCTGTTGCAGTAACTTTAGCGTTTCTAGTTACTCCGACCTTTAACCCGTCAGATGAGAGATGAAGCAAAATGCTGGCTAAAAGCTGAAAGGAGCTAAAAGCTAACAAAATGCTAGCTTAACGAAGGAAAAAAAACAAACGATAGCTTGAACTGTCAGCGAAACTTTCAGAACCTGCTGGACGTACGTCTCCAACCTATTCAAAATGGCCGCCACAACCAATAGCGATAGCAAACACAAAAAAGGCTATTACTTGATCAGTTTTACAGAGTGAGCTAAAGTTTGGTGTGGTAGTAGCTGAGAGTGATCATGATACGTTTAGCTCTAAACATCAAGATCAAGGTTTTCTTTAATTCGCATCTCGTGGTGGAATGAAAGTGTGTACACTGGGTCCCAGTTACAGCCAACAATAAAATGTAAAAGAAAACCAGCAACAAGATATGAACTAAGAAATATGCTAAATACTTAACATGAGCTCACATTGACCAAAACTCCAGCATGAAAGAAATGATTATTAAATTAACGTGTTGGACAGATGGACGGGTGAGGTAAGGCAGGACATCTTTAGTGAGAATAGGGAGCAGGCGAAGGCGGCTGAGGTACCCGAGGCCGACCATCCAAAGCAACGGGCAGAACAAGAGAGGTGAAGAAGGGACAGCAGCAGAGTGTCAAGGATGACGTGAGACAGAAACAGCTGCAGGACAGAAAAGGACATGCTGAGATGTTTGGACAGGAGCCGAGGGGACGGAGACGAAGACGTCCAGGTTTCAGATTAGGAGGGACAAGATTAGAAACAGGTCCATCAGCTGAAGGTCTGGAGACGAAACAGAGGCCCAGACAGTTTGGACATGTGCAGAGGTGCATGCTGGGACCAGTGGACATGGAGACTCACGGACAAGTTGGACCATTTTAACTTGAATAAAATTTGTAAAAGGAGTTTTTTGATAAATTTGTTTTGTACGTTCATCTAACAAATCTCGATTACAATTAAAGCTTTAGGGTTTAAACACGTTTTAAGTCTACGGTTTTTAGAATAATCAGCATAAATGTGTAATAAAACTCCACTCCTGGTTAGAGCTGAACTGTTAGAGTAAAACTAATTCAAGCTTTTATTTGTAATTAATTGAACAGGTGACGTCACCTGAACTGCAGCTTCCTCTTCAGCAGCGGTCCCTTCAGGCCCTTCATGTGATCTGTTGAAACAACCACCTGTCAATACATACAATCAATAATCAATACATTTACTTCACTTGGTTCGGTGTGACCGAACTTACCTTTGTGACAATGGGACAGGAAGTAGGCCTGGGCATGGAGGTTCTCCCGGTCGAACCGGTCCAGAGAAACGGTGGGGTACTCCTTCATTCGACCCGCGAACGAACTCATCTCCGAGCCGAACTTTTTATCGACGGAACCCGAATTTAACTGGACTTTGTTCGTTTTACTGAGACGACGAATGTTTTCAGAGAACTTGTTTTGTTTGTCAGTGCGCGCCGAGTTCAATCTTCTTCTTCTACGTTTTATTTTTGTTGATCCGGTTTGGTGACTCCGCCCCCTGTCGGTGGCTTCCGCTATGAGACGCTCACTAAAGGGCTATTCCGCTGAATTTTGAAGCTCTGGAACATTTAGACAGGTTAATCCCAATGAGCCTCGGAGACTCGTTTACAAGAGAGACGTGGCTGAGCGGTTGGAGGAGTCATCCTCCAATGCATAAGTTGGGGGTTCAAATCCACCAGCAGTCACAAGCCAAAGTGTCTCTGCGCAAGACATTGAACACCTCACTGCCTCCGATGTGTGTCCCATCAGTGTATGAATGTGATAAAGCTCGGATTAGTCTCTTTAGATTTGTTCAACTAGCTTTGTATAGATACAGTAGAGTCCAGAGCACCAAGTCACAACAGAAGTCGTCTCAGGGCACTGAACAGAAACATTCATGTATAAAAATAATAATTTAACACCATTTATCTGAGGAGCAGACTGCTTTGAATTTAACTTTCTTGAGCAAGCATGAAGGCGACAGTGGAAAGGAAAAACTCCCTCGTGAGAAAGAAACCTTTCGCAGAACCAGGCTCAGGACAAGCGGCCATCAGCGTCGACCGGCTGGGTTTGGTGAAGCGTTTTGAGTATTTACTGTTGTCTTGGTTAAAATCAGGTCCCTCTTGTAAATGAGTGTCAATGGGACTAACCTGTATGAGTAAAGATTGAATTTACATTTAATGTCTGGTCCTTTGGCGCCACCTACTGGACATGTCGCACTTTGGTCCTCCATCAGAGAAGAAGAAAGCTCACCGTTACCATGGCAACGAAGATTGAGTGTTAAAAACAGTCTTTACTTAAACAAACCAAAAGTAAACTTTTAGTATATTAAAATGAACAGAAATTAGTTTTTTTTATTTGTATTTATATTAAAAAATCAGTTAAAAATACAAAAAAAACAACGCATTGATTAGTTTTATCAGTTTTTATGAAACGGTGAAACAAAGAAAAAAGCTTTGATCCCTGTAACAAACATGTTTCACACTCACTCCCTCATGATTTTCTTTCATTAAGCTCTGGGCCCGTCAGGCTCTGCTCATGTGACCATACTGGGGGGGTATGGACCCCCACCACGTTCCACATGTTGGGTTTGACCCGGTGCAGGAGCTGATTCTGTGTAAAGAGATTTAAAGTAGTTACAATCTGATCAGAAACACTTTTATCCCTCCTTCTGGTATCAGATCAACAGAACAGGACATTAAAACAGCTGCTGGTTCCACTTCACTGCTGTTGATGAAACAAATTAAACAGGTCGGGGTCTTCTAGGAAGTTTATTTCAATTTGTCATGGAACACTGGCTGACTTTATTCTTCTTCTGGTCTCGTAGCTGACCAGTCTGGGGAGTTACAAAATAAAATGCAGCTCATAAAAATTGAATGACATATATGTTTCGGTATTTAATGGCTCAAAAAGACAAATATAGTTTTAATATTTTCATTTAAAGTCAAGAGGGTGGTGCACCTGCAGCAGAAAAAAAAAAGCATAAAATTAATATATAGAAATAAAGTGCATTTGAATTAATGACAAATACAAAAAAGATGATAAAGCAAAACAGCTGTAAAACTGCTCGTTATTGGAAAACAAAGTATTAAATAGCTACAGTAAATTTAATTAAAAACAAATATAAATATAAAGTTAAAAAAAAGCATTGATCTTTTATCACTATATTTGAAAGCATTTTATAAAATAAAAATAATTACACATCAAGAAAATAAATAGTGAGTAAAGCAGTGTTGAGAAAATGTGTTGGGAACTTAATAAACTAACAATTATCTCAAACGTTTAACATAAATAAATAATATAAAAATAATAAAACATAAATTAAATAGTTTTTTTTAATAAACAAACAAAAAAAAAATTCCAGAACAATGTTTTAAATGTTTAATAAATGCATATGAAGCTTAACTAAATCTTAGTAAAGCAGGGTTTTTTATTACACGAAAAATAAAATGATCTAAAATCATTTTAGTGACATTAAACTAATACATAAATATAAAGATAGTAAACATTAAAGTTGCATTCTTTTGTTAAAATTTAAAAAATAAATTTCTAAATGATAAACATTTATTCTATCCATACAGCTATTTTAATATATAGTAAATGTAAATAAATATAATTAATAAAAGCTGCATGACGAGTCCGTTTGTTTATTTTTGACAGGGCTGATGTTGCATTCACTGACACTCGTAAATTATATTACTCCACTCCTAAATAGGAATTTACGGTTTAGATCCCCGCGGGAATCGCCAATTTCAACTGTTGTTTTTGGACTTATTTAAACACAAATGCACTGCTCTTGTTATTTACACGTAGAATTCGGCTTAAATGTGCCGTTTACAATGACAATTAGTATATAAACAAAGAGTGAGGAAGCGGTTTGTCAGTTCGGTGAAATCTACAGAGCTTTGCGTCAGCCTGTGAAGCGCACACGGTCGGCACAACGTTAAATGAACTCGCCTTTAACAGCTTGAACCGAAGCTACCGGGCTTTAATTCTGACCCGGCTCGGCTCGGTCTCTGTGAAGTTATGTTTCGAGCCGGTGCTGCACGGAAACTGTGAGGTGAGTAACCCTGACTGGAACCGGGCCTTCCACGGCTCGTCCGGACCGTTTTTCGTGTGAATATTTTACATTATTTTCGGTGCGTTAGCTTAGCTTCGTTAGCATGCTATCTGAGTTAGCCTCAGGAGTAAATCTCAGCCTTTTGTTTATTTTACCATTTAATTACGTTTTGACTCTAATGACAAACTATAAATCATGTTTCCGGCGTGTCATCAACATTAATTTAAACATTTGGCTGGTTAGTCTGAAAATAAGTGTGTTTTTAAAAGCTGCTGGGGTAAATTTGTGTGTTTAAAGCTTGATAATCTGAGTTTGAATTAAAGCCAATAAAGTGAAAGTTTGGACTTTTTAACATCTACTTTCTATAATCTAATATCTACCAGACTGAGACATTTATTTTTCTAATTTATCCACAAAACTCCTCAAACAGAAACTAATTTTATTTAATGTTAAATTTCTTTACAGTCTGTGTTGTTTCTGATAATAATCTGTAAAAATCCCCATCACCTTTAGTCACCTGATCTTCTTAATACACATTTTATCAACCTTTTTTTTTGCATTTAAAAGCTATTAAATTAAATGTGCATTTTGTGAGGTATTTATCGTTGAAATTGAGCAAAAAATCCTTAAAACATAAAAGCTGTATTTGTCTACAGTAAAAAGAAACTACAAGTTTGTCTTTAAAGACGTAAAAAATAAACGCCAGCAGCTCAGGAGCAGAATCCTGAACTTTAAAAACAACAAAAATGTCTCTTAAGTTGAATCAGGAGTATTTTCTGTTAATTTCTTAACGTTTAGGGGATTTTTGTGCTCCAGGGTTGAGGTGACTTCACATGTAAAGCAGATGAGGTTTGTTCTGAGCGCTCCCGTGGGTCACAAGGCTGTGGAGGAATTCAGCTATAAGCCGGGTTTATTCCAGTTCATAACGAGCCTTTTTGTTTTTCCAGTTTGTGGGTTTTATTTCAGCTGATGAAGCTCCTGGGGCGTCGTTTCCTTTTGCCTTCTCGCCCACTAAACATTTCTGCAGGAAGTAGAACAGGAATTTATCTTCCTGCGTCTCTTCACTGTTTTTACACCCACAGGATCGGGTTTGGTGGTTTTTGTAGATGCTGATCTAAATTTAGAGTCCAGGTGCGCAGACAGAAAAAAAGGATGCGGGCTGGTTCTAAAAACTGTCGGGGACTAGGCAGCTGTTCCTCGCGTTAAATCTGCAACTAAAACAAGACGAGTAAAACCGCAGGCGACCCAGGAGCATTCTGGGACGCGAGAGCTTCCAACTGGAGGGAGCCGTTTGCGTTTCTTTAAACGTTTTACCAAGTTTAATTCAGAAAAAGGTCAAAATCGGAAAACAAGATTATAAAGCTCAGCTGCTTTAGTGTTTGAGAGTTAAAATGTTTATTTAAACCTCACAGATTAAGCTTTTTCCAAGGCTATTGCTGATTAAAGTTGGGTAAATGGACTTCACTTGTACAGTTCCTTTCTCTTATCAAGACACTCGAGCTCTTTACAACAACACGTGTCCTCATTTACACATTCATACGGCTCTATCAGATCTTTACAAAGACTAACCACATCCATTCACTGATGGGACACGCATCGGAGGCAATGAGGGGACACTTCAACATGTGACTGCTGGTGGAATCGAACCCCCAACTCTTGCTCTAACCACTCAGCCACAGCCGCCCTGCGTTTGCTTTGCCGTAGTTCTTTAAGACTGAATTTAATTTTGTTTTGAAAAGGTAATAACGAATCGTTTTACTCTTCAACAGAGCCAGGGTTTGTCCCTTCTGGGCTTCTGTAGTGAGAAGGAAGAGGAGATGATAAAAACTGGTACTGATTTTAGGAATAAGCTTGAATCGGCGTCGGCTTCTTCAGCCTTTTTACAAAGAAGCTAAAAGCATCACTGAGGTTTAAACACGAACATATAAAATAAAGACCTGTGGAGGAAAACTGGGGCGAGATCAAAGTCGTTTAAAGTTTACGTCAAGGAAGACGCTGTCGACGCGAGGACCGTAACTTTAACAAAAGCCTTTTAAAATGTTTATCAACTTCCTATAAATTTATTTAATAAACTAAATCTGCTTACAGATTGAATGAACGAAACAAAAAGATTTAATAAACTAAAAATTAACTTTTTTTTTATTTTATTTTTTTACTTAAACGTAGAGGATTTCTTGTAAGTTCCCTTTTATTTTAAACCTGCATTAATTTAAAACCTCATACGTGAAAGTTGTTTGTTTGTTTGTTTGTTTGCACGGCCACGCTGCAGCTTCTGCAGGGAGACAACGATGAATCTGAATAAGATCCTTATAGTTTTTGTTCAAAACCGTTTCCTTCACATCATCCGTTTTGTTTGTTAAAGGATAAAAACGGGTGTTTCGCTCAGAGTCCGGAGTCTCGGAGCCGCTGGTGAATCAGTTCTCTGATTTATGTCTGACCTCTGCTGAGAGGACACGTCATCCCTCAGTAACATTCATACAGTAAAAATACCGGAGCAGTTAATTCTGTTTTGTTACATCATTAGTTGTTGCATTTCATGCAAAAAAAAATAATAAAACGACCTTTAAAGATAAAAAAATAAAGAAAAGCTTTCTTGTTTCAGGAGGTAAGAACACAGTAATATTTATTAAAGAAGCTAAACTAATTAAAAAATTTAAACTAGAGTAAATATACTAAACTTTAAGACAAAATAACTAAAAACAGAAATTAATTTAATATGAAAATGTTTTTTTTTCTTCCTGCAACAGAAACATACTTTGGTTTTAATCGAATTGTCCCAAAGGTTAAAGGTCACTGATCTAACTTAAAGGCTTCTCTGATGGATTTCAATTAAACTTTTTTTTATTTATCTTTTTTTTTTTAAGTTCCTGAGACTGTAGATTTTTTTTTATTTTTAGGACTTGACAATTAGTTTTTTGGTTCTTTATATTATTTTGGGCAAAAGTTTTCAGCTCTTCGGTGCAGAAGACGAGAACGTTTAAGAAGATCCTCCTGAAACGCGTCGGTGCAGCTCGAGTTCGCTGCAGCAGTTTTCCACATTTATTGAGATGTACATCTGAAATGTGGGTACGTAAACAATGTAAACAAACAGTGGTCACATCGGCTGTTTCTGTAGGGAACGGCACAGCTGGTATTTGGCAGCTGGTCACAGACTTGGTTCAGAAATGTTCAATTTAAGGTCACATTTATTACTGAAAGGAGGATTGTGCAGATTTCATTCTTCCTGACGGTTGGACACACGATTAGTCATTTTTCTGTCTCGCAGGTGAAGTGAAGTGTCTACCTGCTGCAGAAATGCCCCCACGTCTCCCTTCACACTGACAGCCGACGCGAGCATGCTGCGGCCCGGCGTATCCAGGAGGTGGCGCTGCTGAGACGGGTCGGTGCTGCCATGGAGGACTTCTCCACCCGGACTTACGGCACCAGCGGCCTGGACAACCGGCCTCTGTTCGGAGAGACGTCGGCTCGGGTGGGAACCCGCAGGGAGTCTGTTTAGAGCCAGGAAGTTCTGTGAGAAAACCTGACAGCTGATCAATGTGTTTTCCTGCAGGATCGGATCGTCAACGTGGCCGTGGGCGGCTTTACGTTCGTGGTGGTTCTGGTGAGTCCGTGCCACCGACAGTTTAGTTTCCACCTGGAGAGCCTGAGAGAGAAGAAGGCACTTCCTGTCTGATCAAACTGAACTTTGTTCATCAAAAACTACTTTTAACAGTTTAATTGTGAAATCTTCTTAAAGAAACACATTTTTTTATATTTGTGAGACTTTAACTCACAGAAAGTCTGAAGCTTCTCCAGAATCGGTTCTTAAAAATCGTTTGGAATTTAAAAAAGGCAATTTTACCAAATTTCTCTATAATTATGGCGTTCAAGCAGATTTTCATTTAAGAGGAAAAAGATGAATCATTAAATCAACTTTATCCTAAAACTGACTGTTCAAATGTTTAAAGAATTTAAAGTTGGATGTTTTAAAGAACAAATGTTTGTTTTCCAGGTGACTGTGATCGGATCGTTTGTGTTCTCGATGCCTCCGCGGCCGCTCAACGTCTTCTTTGCCGTCTGCATCCTGTTAGCGTGTGGATCTACAATAGTGCTGGTAACAAATAAAAACAGATCTACTCTGGTTTGATTTAATTTTACTGGACTTTAGTGGGAACAAGTTTTTTCTGCTTAAAGGGAAAAAAGTCGGGAGGTTGTTTTAAAATGTTAATTATCTTCTAGAGTATTTTTTGTTAAATTTCTAATGATAAAACATTAGAGCACGCCGATTAATATTTGTTAATTATTCCTGGTTTTCTTCAGTTTTTGATCCTGCAGCTTAAAAGAAAATATCAATAAGTGCAAATCAATCAGGGAGAGAGTTCTGGTGCTTGGTAGCGGTCCGTTGTACGATGTACATTTCTTCAAACAATTTTGGCTGCACGGCTACAGTTTATACGTCAAAATGTAGATTTCTGTCTTTTCGTCCACCCGATGCGTGTCAGAGCTGTGGGACAGACGCAGAGACTTCCTTCGTATCTGAGTCCAGAGTCCTCTCGTCAAAACTGGAAGGTTCTGAAACGTAAAAACTCCAGTGAGAGACGAGCGCATTCAACTCGCCGTTCTCTCACTGCGACGCTTGATGGAGTCTTACTATCTACCTGTCTTGTTAGGAGTGCTGCAGGTACGCGGTTGCCACGGAGACGCGCGTACGCGCGTTTCCACGGCGACGCGCGTACGCGGTTGCCACGGAGACGCGCGTTTCCACGGAGACGCGCGTACGCGGTTGCCACGGAGACGCGCGTTTCCACGGCGACGCGCGTACGCGGTTGCCACGGAGACGCGCATTTCCACGGAGACGTGCATACGCGGTTGCCACGGAGACCTGCTGGCAGCTGCTTTAACATGTATTTTTTTTATACCTCTGTTCTGTTTGATTTTCTAGATTTTACACATCAAAGCCTTGGACATTTTGTCAGCGAAGATCATTACAAAATAAAAGTCCAAAAATATTATTTTTTTTATCACAACTGATTGTTTTGTCTTAAATTTTTCTTCAATTACTTTTTTTTTTTTACATTATGAAACCTGAAAAGCACATTCTTTATGAAGTTGTTTTGTTATTTTCTGCGAGACATAAATGATTTTCCCGTCTCTCCACCTTCAGATCTTCTGGTACAGGCAAGGAGACCTGGAGCCCAAATTCAGGAAGCTGATCTACTACATGCTGGCCACCATCGTGCTGCTGTGTATCTGTGCCAACCTGTACTTCTTCGACGTCAGGTAAAGACGGAGGAGGACGACGTTCGGCGAAGGAACAACGCGACCAAAAACTTTAACCTGCAGACGACGCTGGGACCGAAACTGAAAGAGAGCAACTGTTTCTAGGGGGAGGAATTATGCAAGCGCGCCCTAAAATCAGCCTGCGGTTGAAATTGAAGATAAATGGACTTGTTTACGTGCAAATAAACATTCACCTTGAAGGATCTAAAAGGATCAGTTGATCCACTTCAAGGCAAATTTCTTTAAAGTAGACAATTAAATAAACTTTTAGATGAAGGAAGATGAAAGAACATCAAAGGCTAGAGGAGGAGTGAACATCAAAGGCTAGAGGAGGAGTGAACATCAAAGGCTAGAGGAGGAGTGAACATCAAAGGCTAGAGGAGGAGTGAACATCAAAGGCTAGAGGAGGAGTGAACATCAAAGGCTAGAGGAGGAGCAGAGAAAAGGAGAAAATCAGCGTTCTGAAGCAGAAAAATCCAACAAATGTTTTTCTTCCAGTTTCTGCTTCAAAACATTCCTGTGTTGAATTAGTTTCCTGCTTTTCCTTGTCGGAGTAGCTTTCACTGCCTGATACGCACTTAAAGCTATAAACAAAGAATTATTATTATTAAAATGATTTTATACACAGAAACCTGCCGCTGAATTAAACATTGCACTATTGATCCTGACATTTATCTGAGCTTTAATGTTTTGACTTTTGTCTGTTTCTGCTCCACTTGGAGCTGATTCTCAGCGTTCTGTTCACATGTAAAACCTCAACACGTCCATCTGTACTACATGAAAGTGCACGCCGACCACCCGATTCAAAGCACCTCTGGTGGGCGAAGAGACGACGGCCTTTTAGCTTCACGTTAACTTCGCTCGCTTCTTCACGGATTTGAACGGTCCAGTCCTGGCAGCACGGCGGTCATCGGATCGAACCCCGACCCGGGACCTTTCTGGGTGGAGTTTGCATGTTCTCTCCGTGCTGCGTGGGTTTCCACCGGATACTCCGGTTTCCTCCCACAGACCAAAAACATGCATGTTAGACTGACTGGTAATTGTCTCCGTGTGTCCCCGTGATGGACCGGACAACAGAACAGATTGGACGGTCCGATGTGAATCGCATCCGATTCTTCAGTTTTGTGGTCCGTCTCCGAAATGCAGGAACAGCTGATATCGTCAGCTTCGCCTCATGTCGCTCCTCTGCCTCGGGAGCCGACTCTTCAGCGTCTCCTCGCTGCTTCTGTTTACCTCCAGCCTTATACTCCGGTTCTTGTTCCTCCGTATTTTACAAACAGCCTCCTGGATTTGATTTAACCACTGGGATCAGTCACGTTCGGCTGTTAGCAAAATATCCACTGAACCACTGGATGGATTTTAAAGAAGCTCTCGTTGAAAGCGACTCACGTTTGGACTCATTTAAGATGGCCGCCACAAAGACGGCAGGTGTACATGGTAGTAGCTGAGGGTCATTCACATCGCATCATTTGAGCTTTGACGCGTTTCTGGAGGTGCGGTGGCCATCTTGGTTTAAACTCTGGCATGAAATGTGGATTATAAGACTTTTAATTTAATAAATGACTATAAAACGTCAACGTATCTTCACTTGAACTCAAGTAATTACAAATGCAACAAATTAAAGTTTTAATATTATAAACGAGAATCCTTTAAAGAAATGTTGAAGAGCGTCCCATTCCCACATCCAGCAACTTTTTCTTTCCATAGCCCAAAAATAATCTGGGACTAGGCCTGTCGTGATAAACAATAAATCAATTGATCACATGATAAATGAAAATTATCGACCTCATTTTCATTTATCGGCTTTATCGTTTCGCGTCTCTCTCTTTCTACTGAAGACACTGGATGACAAAAGACTCAACTCCGGTGCTCCTCACTGACCCCCTCCCCCTTTAAAATCTGTTTTAACCGTCCAAAATCGCGTTTTTGGATCATTCTAAGCTGAGAAGCTACGAGCTAAGCTAACAGGTCGGCCTCGAGAAAAAAACCTCCGTCTTGTCAAAGCTCCAAAATTCACGGTTGAAATTCGTGCCTTCGTGTAAAAAGTTGTTTTTCTCTGCAAAAAGAAATTGAGAACTTGTTTACTGATTTTTATTAAAAGCTTTGTGTGACAAATGCCAAAGAGCTCAAACCACCGAGCGTCCTCCATTTTGAGAACCAAATAAAGGTGAGACAGCCCATGTCACGTCAAGGAGCCTCCCTCACATTTTTCTTAGAGACACGCTGCTCGCTCCCTCACTATCCATCCTTGAATTCAAACAGTCTTATACTGCCATCTGGTGGTCAAAAAGGTACTACATGCAAAACAACTTAACCAACATTTTGTCTTAAATTTGACCATTTCTAATTATTGTCAAACTTCAAACAATATTATCGTTTATCGCAATACTTTCTGCCCAGCAACATTTGTTATCGTGACCGGCCTACCTGGGACTTCCTGTTGTGATAATCTAAGATGACAAAATGCCGACGTTTTGACGTGAAAACAGCAGAAGAAGAGTTTGAATGTGTCAGAAACCCTCGAACCTCAGCTCCAGTTCAGTACTGGAACGTCCAGCGTTCTGTGTTTTTAATTTTTTTTTTTTTTGCGTTTTAACAAAATTCCATCGTTGTCCGGAGAAATCTGACGCTTTGTTCCGAGTTTCCTCCAAAAGCTCGCAGCACCAGTCCCAGTCGAGCTCGTGTTTTAATGTTTGTTTTGGTCCAAAGCTTTGGAGCTTGAAATAGTACGAAGGCGCCTCAATGATATAAAAATATAATAAAATGAACAAAGAAGCTTCTGAGTATTTTCATGAGAAATGTATATTTCTATAAGAAGTTAATCGTGTCTGTAATGATACAACTTTAGAAAATAAACGCTGCACCTCACCATCATTGTTTAATTTTAAATTAAAACATTTAAATAGTTTATCTTCATCATTATTCCTTCCTGTAATAAACAGGCATTATTTGTGCCGCGTGATTTTACTTCGTTAACGCTTTTTTATGAAGAATTAGTCCTGGTTTAGTTGGACAGCTGTCCATTTTGTCCTCCTGGGGACAACTCCGTGTCCCTCCAGGTCCAAAACGTTCGTCCCGATCCGAAGCTGCCTTCACATTTCATCCAGGGACTTCCTCGTTAACTCAAACGGCTCAGTCGGGTTTAAAACGGGAGCAGCTCACTCACAGTTCGCAGCGGGTCGGGTCCGGTTCAGTCAGAACCGTCCTGGTTCTCCAAGATGGGATCTGAGGACAGAGAGGAGTCCAGGTCCAGGTTTTTATTTGGGTCGTACGTCGTCACAGCTGCTCAGGTGTGTGTGTTGTTACCTGTCAGGGTGCTGCTGATGTTGGGAGGAGACACGATGAGCACCGTGCTGCCCGATGGTATCCCAGAATGCACTGCTGCATGTTGGACTGAGGTCGGACCCTGGTGAGAACAGTTTTAAAATAAAAAGTGTTTTTTGTTTGTTTTTTAGCTTGTGAGCATTTTGAATCAAGACAAAAACAAAAACATTTTGACACAATCAGCCCCCCCAAATTTTTTGCTGCAGTCCTGCTTTTATTTTGAAAGTTTAATGTTCTTCAGCTGTGAGGAACCTGAACCAGCTGAAGGTTTTTGGTTAAAATGCATTTAAAAGCATTCTAGTTTATTTGTTTGGGTCCAGATGAGCCACGGGGCCTCTGTCTCGCCAGACATTTTAAAATGATGGAAAACTTTTAAACCTTGCTAGTGAACGTCTCCGTTACCGACTCCTGGGTTTCCGTGATAACCGTGGCCGAACCCTCCAGCAGGCTCGCTGCATCCAGCTGGTCGTCCTGGCTCCGCCCCTCAGCCTCCACGACCAGCCGCGGCTCCGAGGAGGCGGGGTCAGAAGAGACTGTCTGGATGATGACGCCGTCGCTGGAGCAGAGGCTGTCGGTCTGAGGAGAAAAAATAAAAAACGTCTAAAAACAACAACAACAAACAGCGGAGAGACGAAGAACTGACCGACAGGCTGTGGAGGATGATGTGCTCATGTGACGAGGGGGAGGAGCCTGTCGTCAGGGTGACAGTGCTGTTATTGGATAAACTGAGAGGAAGGCTCTGGTTGGACGTCGTCTGGAGGTAGTAGGTCCCCGGGGTGCTGGTGGGCTGCAGGTGGAACGCCTGAAAAACAAACAAACAAACAATCAAACACGGTCCATGATTTCCTCCTGAACGACGTTTTTTCTTTCTTCTGATGAATAAATGATAAAAGCAACGAGCTCGACCGAAGCTCAGAGACGTTCAACTCGTTCCTCGAGTCTTTTATCTTTCTCCATCTTTGGTTTCTCTTTAAAACTCGTTCCTTTTCTTCATGTTTTCCTTTAAGTTTGTTATTTTGGACGTCTTTGTGTTTCTAAGTTTCAGTTTGAAGCTTTTCTGTCGTCATTTTTGTCGTTTTCATTTTAGTTGGCATTTAAACCAACTTTCTTTTTTTTCTTTCCACTTTTAACTCTTATTTTTAACTACCGGCAACTTTTTTTACAGTTAAGCTGTCATTTTGTACTTTTAGGTACTTTATAACTTTTATATTTTAGTTTCTGTTATTTTTAGATCACATGGATCTTGAGACTTTGTCTCTTTGCATCTTGATTTGTTGATGTTTTTCTTTATGTGTGTAATTATAAGACAGAAACACAAAAAAGAGTGAGATCATGTCGTGTGGACAGTTTCTTCTTGGGGGAAACATGAGACAGAAACTATTCTTCTCCGTCTTCTGCTGCATCAGTAACCTCTCTGATTTATTGATGTATTAAATGTGAACTAGGACTGGGCCATATCATATCGTTCACGACAATACCGGTAAAAAAAAAAAAAGCTTGCCCGGGCAAATAAATGACATCATGATATGTTAATTTCATGACGTAATATGTCAAGCGCCCCGTTAACAGACCTGAGAGCGCCAAACAACCGAACCGAACTGCGCACCCCCTCCCTCCACCTGTCGGTACTGGCGTAACGCTAATTAGTTGCACGCGATACTAGCTAGCTAAAGTGCTAAAAACGAACATCGTGCGGCCCGGCTGCGTTTCTCCACCCAGCTCTAAAGTGTCGGTACAAACACGAGCCCCTCAACTGTCTCTTAGTTCCACAGTCCATGGAGCAAGAACAGAGTCATGTGATCAGAGACGGAGTCATGTGATCAGAGACGGAGTCAT